AATCAGAAAATGAAAATCTGATTCTTTAGAAATAGATTTGTATCCCTAGAAAAATAAAACTTAAATCAGACTCAAGATGAAATAGAACCTAAATACACCTACAGATATTAAATAACTAGAAGCAATAAAACCTCTACTCACAAAAAACACACCAGATCCAGACAGTTTTATAGTCAACTGAGCATTCAAGGGTTCCCGTCTCACACAAACTGCTCTGGAGTTCAGGTGGGGACCGATGAGAAGAGAGAAGGTTGGGTGCCAATTTGCAGATGAAGGATGAAGCCATGACTGACCCACCCAGCAAAGGTGAGCAGCATCACTGAGCACCAGGACCGTTTCAGGGGCCTGGACATGTCAGTGAACCAAACAAGCAGAGTCCCTCTCCCCAGAGGGCTTCCATTTGGGCAGGTAAAAACTGAGACCAAAAACCGCATAGGAGAATCAGAGTATGTGAGAAGACAACGGGGCCTTGGAGGGAAGACAGTAGACCAGAGTGGGCGAGGCGGGTCCACCTGGGCAGAGGGTGGACTGGGACCGGGACCCCCGTGAGTTGTCATGGAAACCAAGGGAGGTGAAGGTTCAAGGGGGAGTCAGGTTAGCTGGGACAGAAACTGGTGATAGCCTTTGGGGACGAGGCCACTGTGGACTGAGGACAGAGAGGAAGGGCACAGCTGGGATTCAGAAGAGGAAGTGGGCTGGAAGGAGTGATGCCCAAGGGCAGGATGGCAGGAGGGGACATGTCTGAGTGCAGCTGGGTGAGGCAAACTGCCCCGCCAAGAGGGGAGCCAGCAGCGGGCGAAGTGGGCCCACCAGAAGGCCAGAAACTGGGGTGGGGGCGTGAACCACCCCCACTGGAGGGCCTGGGCATCGCTGGCACATTAAATGCTGAAGCAGGGAGGGCAGAAGCCACCAGCGAGGGCCTTCCTGGTGGTCTTGGAACCCCGGGGGTGGCTACGGGAGCAGGGCTGGGCTCCACTGGGGGGGTTGCCCCCAGCACTGCACCAGGCACTATTCTGGGTGCTGTGCCCACAGGAGCGCCCCCAGGCCTGTGAGGCCTATTTGTGTCTAAATGTGTGTGGGGGAGACAGGAGGAAGTGGGGATGGTGAGAAGGACGGCTCTTTCTGGAGTTTTGGCCCTGATGGAAGGAGGGGAGAGCAGAGGGGCCTTGGTGTCTCGCGAACCCTGGAACCCTCGCTTTTAAGGACAGAGACAGGAAAACAGCAGAGGTGGGGCCAGGCTAGGTCAGAGGTGGCCCTGCCTGGGAGGTGGGGTCTGGTGGACCCGAGGGAGAGTGGCCTTGAGGAGCCTGGGGACTGTGCTCAACAAAATAAGGGGCAAAGACACCCCCTGTCCCTTGGCTTCCTTCTCCAGGAACCCACCCAGAGGACGTCATGTGTCTAAGTGCTTCTGGGTATTGTTATTTTTGCTGTTTGCCGGGGTGGTGGTGGAGCTGGGGAGTGACTCAGGCTTGGACCTTGTTCACTGTGTGCACGTCATACGTGCCAGGCACTGTGCAGAACCTGAGCTCGGGGCAGAGCCGAGCAGACCCCCTGGGCAGTGGGTCTCCCACCCAGCTGAGTCTGGAGCCCATCGATCTGTTGGTTGCCAGTTGGCAAAGACATGAGATTTTCTCCTGAAAGGCTTGGCAGCCAAAGCCACAGTGCCGGGTTGGGTGTCTGGAGGAGGCTGAAGGGGCCCCCGTGAGGTCCCGTCTGGGCAGGCAGGCCAGAGGGAATATGGCCAGGGCCTCTGGGTCCATCCAGACCAAGGGCAGGTCTGCAGGGAAAGCCTGAGGGAGAGCGAGGAGGCCTGGGGCTGTCGAGTTCCGGCTGTGGAGAGAGGTGCAGCCTCCTCCCTCCCAGCCGCAGCTCTGGTGGACTCTGGTCAACATCGTCCACCACCTTGCAGCTGGCCACAGTGGGTTAAAGGGCTGGGACCTCGGAGCAAAGGCAGATGGAGGTTGTGGTGGGAGGGGCAGGGTGGGGGGACGGCGGGGCAAGGCAGGACGGGAGTGGGGGCCTGCGTGCTGGGGAGGGGAGAGAGACTGGGGCAGGAAGACGGTGGAGACACAAGAGGGGCCATGAAGCACTAGTTTCCTCTCTCCAGGGCTGGGCCGCAGGAAATCCAGCCCTCATGCTTCCCAAGGTGTTTCCTGAAGATAAGTGAGCCTGGACAGCCCTTCCTGATCCCTGCTCCCCTGCCCCCACCCCTCCCATCCTGCCCTAGCCTCTGGGGGACCCCCAGCTGGCCCACTCAGGCTGGGCCAATGGCCTTGGGAGGAGCCAGGACAGGGGTGGGAGGTGGGCGCATCCTGGGGCCACACTTCCTGGGCAGGGAGGGTCTGTCCAGGCTTGGGAAGGACACAGGACCAGACCCATAGGCAGCGGCGGAGCAGCTGGGCAGGTCAGTGGAGTTCTGAGGAGGCAGAGATTCTTCCTCAAGTGCGGGCAGAAATCCAGGCCGGTAGGAGGGAAGAGGGGCCCTACCCTGGGGTTGCCCAAAGGCTGTTTTCGGGGCAGAGGGCTGGTCAGAAATTGTATCTGGTCAGGGGCACTTTGTGGCGGGCAGGCAGTGGTCAGGGTGGATCTGCGGGAAGTGGGGCTGTTCTTGGAGGGGGTGTCCAGCGCTGTTCTGTGTGAGGTCAGGGTATTTCTAGGATAATTCAGGTTGTCACGGGGAGCGGTAGGGAGGTTTCCTGTGTGTATGAGGCCAGGGCAGTCCAAGGTTATTTCTGGGAAGCTCAGGAATAACCAGCTTTGTAGGTGATCCCGGGCTGCTCCTAGAGAAGGCGGGGGAGGCTGGGGCCAGGGGCCGTTCCCACCACGGCCCGAGGGTTCCCCAAGCCCGGTTAGTCCTGCCCAGGCCGTCGAGTCTGGCCGCTCTCCTGGCTCTTCGCGGGGTCGGGGGCTGTTCCTCGGGGGTGGGTCAGTCGAAGCGTGTTGGGAGAGTTCCCTGGGTGTCGGGGGCTGTTTCTCGGGAGATGAGGGACATTCCGACGTTTAGGGGCTGCTCTTGCCCTGGGGGCCCAGGGGGCACCGGGCTTCGCCATGCTGGGTAGTTCCGTGGGGCTCGCCAGGGTTGGGGGACCCGGCGCGCTCCAGTGGGGCTGCCTGAGCTAGTTTCTTTACTGAGCTCCCCCTCCTCCGCCCACTCATCACCCCCTCCCGCGTTGCCACGACAACGCGTAAAACTAAAATTCACTTCCCAGTTGCAGGTGGAGACTAGTGGCGCCCCCTCCCCTAGCCCTTCTCCGTAGGTCGCGCCCCCATCCTGTCGTCGCTAAGGTGACGGGGAGGGGGCGACAGGCGCAGCATCTCCAGGCCGACCGGGGGTCCGGGCAGGGAGTTGGGAGCAAACTCCCCGAACTCGGCCGGAGTCGCGGCGCCGCGCTGAGCCCCGCGGGGCGTGGTCGAAAGGGTTAATCCGGAAGGCCCTCGCGCGCGGCGACAGGAGAGCCCCCGGACCCCCCAAGGCCGAGGGTCCCCGTGTCCGACCCCCAGGGCTGGGGCAGGGCTGGTCCCGCCGTCTCCTCCGGGCCTGGAGTCGGGGCCGGCAGAGTGGGGGAGAAGCCGCCACCTCCAGAAATGAATTCTGTTTTCTCTCCCCTTCCTGCCCTGCCGTGGTGCCCTAACGCAGCCCCCGTCCCGGCTCGAGGACCCCTCCTCCCCTGCGGTCCGCGGACGCTCGCCCGCTGCGAAAGGGCGGCGCGGCTTTCGCGGCTCAGCCACTCCCCTCCCACCGAGGCCTAGGACTCCCCCCACCCCGAGCACAGCCCCCCGGGGCCCCCGCCGG